TAACTAATCTATCTTGAATAAGCTTTTTCTCAATATTTATCAGCTTCATAAAATCTCTGTTTAAATCTTTCAAAGATATAGACAAATTTGGATATAAGAAAAATTGAATATCAGAAAGAATCCATAAAATTTTGGTTAGTCTATGGTCGCTCTCAAGCGTCAATTTCAATGTGATTAGCAAGTGATCGTAATAGTGCTCAAGCATAATTATATTCGGAAAATTTTTTTGCTGAAATTTGAATATGAAATTTATGACATAATTGTAATCTTCTCAAGCATCAATTTTAATGTGATTATTCAGTGATCGTACTAGTGCTCATTTATTACGATCAATTAAATAACCATTGAAATCGATACTTGAGCAGTCCCCTATTGATTTCTATTGTTTGTCAAATGTCGTCAAAAATTAAAAAAACAAAAAATAAAAAAACAAAAGCGTCCATTCAAAAGAAGGTAACAGATGTTACCGATCATCAAAATTATAGCGAAGCATCAACTTCAGCAGTTTCCAGCACTCCATTCGCTGATTTCACCAACTATAATATGTCATTTCAGCAGCAATACCCTGTTCCTTCATTTTTCATGAATCAATTAGCTTTAAACAAAGCTGCTGCTGAATATAAAGTATTAAAATAGATGTTTATTTGTAAATATAATTACTATACATATATAACAATAATTTTTATTAGGCAATTAATCAAGAAAATTCATCGTCAAAGACTAAACTTGAGGCCTCACAATTAGTTTCTGACGATGATTTGACTTCAGACACAAACTCTAATTCTTCTGAAGTACCAAGTGATAAACCAACAAAAAGATGGTCTTCATCAGAGACACGTATATTAATTGAAGAAGTGGGAAAGCAATACAAAACATTGCAGAAAGCAAAAGATCCAAGAGAAAAGGGTCGTATCTGGAATAAAATAATTTCAGGCATTCAATCTTCTACCTCAAATTTAAATTTAAAAGAGCGGTCAAAAACCTCAGTTCAGCAAAAATGGGAGTCTATCCATCAAAAATATCGAAACATTAAAGATGTAATTAAAAATACTGGTGAAGAAGCTATTCAGAATGAATGGGAGTTTTTTAATGATGTAGATACTTATATGAAAGATGATCCAAGTATTACTCCATCTATTACTACTGATTCAATTCGTGGAATTAAACGTTCTAAGCCTGATAACACAAATGACAATGATAATGAAGTAATATAAAATTTTATTTTTTAATTTAGTTATTTATTTTTTAATTAATTAATCAATTAATTTATTCATTTATTTTTTAATTAATTTATTTATTTTATTAATTAGATCGATTCTAAAAAAAAAAGAAGTATTCGTACTACTGACGAAAAAAAATCTATTAATGATATCTTAACACATATTGACAAACAAACTGAATTAATTGTTGATACTATTAAGGAGCAATATTTACATACTAGTGAAATTCAGCAACAACAGCATAATGAACAAATAACAATTTCTTAAGAAATTCTAAAAAACTATTTGTATATATTTTATTAGCATTTTATTTAATATAGATTAATATTATTTATATAAATGTAATTAATTGTAAATAATAATAAAATATATAATTATTGCTATTTTAAACTAAAAGATTTGCTAAATATTCTCTTTTTTGCATTCCCGTCATTCTGTCTCTTCCTATATTTGTAATAAATACTTCCTCATTTTCATTATCATTAACAATCTCATTATCATTATTGTTACTATTAATAATAAATTCACTATCATCATTATTTTTATAGTTATCATTATCGAGTAATAAATCATTCCTATCAATACATAAATTGTGTAAAATACAGCAAGCATGAATTATTCAAACAATTCGTTCCAAATCTGTACAATAAATTTTGCTTAACAAAATTCTCCACCTTCCTTTTAAATATCCAAATGCTCTTTCTATACACATTTTCATTGAAGAAGGCTTCTTGTTAAATTGTCGTTCATGAATAGTTAATGAATCATGATCAGGAAATGGTTTCATTAAATAAGTTTTAAGCAGATATGCAGGATCGCCAATAATATATGAACCACCTGGAACCCATTGTTCTTGGTTATGAGAAATTTCATAATAAAGAGAGGATCGATAAAACACACGTGCATCATGTACACTTCCTTTTAAAATAATTTAATAATAATTAAAATTTTTAATAAATAAATATAAAAAAATTACAATTTTATTAACCTGCCTCTCCGGCATATATGTATGTAAATCGACCTCGACTATCTACAACTCTAAGAAGGTTGATTGAATGAAAATTTTTACGATTTACAAACCGTGAGCTATTATTAATAGGAGGATGAATAGGTATATGTGATCCATCCATCGCACCAATTACATTAGGTAAATTATGTTCTAAACCAGTTATTCCATGTTCAAATTCTTGAATAACTGTTGTTAATTGTACACCTTGTGGCCACTTTATCCTTTCCTGCTCCAAATCCAATAATGCTTCTAAGAATCGATCTGTGAAATGAATAACCAATCCTTGACTTACTCCAAGAGTTTGTTCTAAAACCCAAATACCTACTCCATTAGCAAAGCGCCACAAAACAATAGCAATTTGCTTTCATACAGGTGTAGCATTAAGAGCTTCAGATTGAAAGACAGAATGTGTCTCTAATCGAGATACAATAACTCTAAATGTTGAGAGGGTAATACGAAAATGTCGCTGAAAAGAATTATAACCCTCATCATCAGTTAAATATGGAAAAACATTAATCCAGAATCCAACAGTTTTAGGTCTTCATTGCTGTTGGGTTACTGCATCAATCGAAGAGATTAATGCCAGAATAGTAGAATTTGTTACCATTTGAGTAAAAGCTAAGAGATGGCAAGTATTTGATATCATTTTATGGGCTTCTCGATTTTTTTTATTATCCATAAAAACTTTTAATGCTAGAAGTAAAATAATAATTCGTTGCCGTTGGAAATGATGATCCATGGTAAAGTTGCTTGAGCGATCTCTTTGAATACTCTATTGATAGTAAAATTTTCAAATGCAGGCATAAAAAAAAGGTGGTCTGGTGTAAAAAGTTTGTTGATTGAAATGAAAATTCACGTAATTTCTTTTACTAATAAAAAAATGTTTATTACGTAATAAACTTTATTAATTTACGCATATTTAACGTAATGATAAACACGCTTAATTAATTTTAAATATTTTCTGCTAAGTAAAATTTATTCCCAGACACTTTTTGATTCATTGATTGAGGTGCTTGAGAGCAACCTATATTTGTTAATTCTGAGTTGCAAAAGCTTTTGAATTTGATTCAATCTAGTTTGAATAAGATCATTTATAGTATAGATAGATGATCTTTGGTTTTTGGTAGTAGGAGTATAGATAGTTTCTTCATCTGATGTGTAAAAAGTATCAATTCTATAAGTATCAGATTCTTCATCACAGTTATATCTATTAGCTTGTCCAGAGATAATTATTTTTTCTTCGAATATTTCCCATGGATCCTGAGTGCTATCTATATCTTCAGTATTATTATTTTATAAAGATATAAGTTGTAAAGCTTCTTGTTCAGTTAACAAATCTTCTTTTATAGGTAAAATATCAGGTACAGGTTGTTGATTATTTTGATTAAAATTTAAATCAGTCAAAGGATTATAGTAGAGATCTAAGTTTCTATTGATATTATTTATTATAAATATTATAAATAGATATAGTAAACTAAAAGTGATAAGATATATTATATATCTATAGTAATATAAAAATAATATATAATAATAATAAAAAGAGATTTTTAGATCAAATTTTGAAATTTGGATAATATTCAAAATTTTACTAAGCTAAAAGGGTTTGTGTATTAAGAGAATATTGTTCAGGAGCTTTGTAGGGTCCTAAAAATGTTGAGATCTCATCAATCAGATGTCTGGATAGTAAATTATTGTTATTACGACCTTAGGTCATGTGATCAATAAGAAGAAAAATGACATATAAAGGATTTGTAAGAGACATTCAAAAGACCGTCAGTATGATTACAGGTTCTAGTGACGTTTTCGTCCTAAGATAAGCTTAGTAGAAAAGATGCGGAATCCTTCAAAGAGTATACATGTAAAATTTAGCTCAATCAGATCAAAATTGATCGACTTTACTTAGTGGCAAACGTTCTATGAAACTAAAGTTTCTTTTTTGTTTTTCCAATTTCTATATGAAAAAGAGTAGATGATCTCACAGTCACCACCAATTTGTTATTCTATATTTATTTCTTTTAAGATAGTAGGTAACTAGAGCGACCTTAGACAGTGAACACTTTTTGTAATCTCACTTGTTACTGTATTATAACTAAGTCGGAAGGCGTTTTATTTTAGAAAACTTAACAAAAAAGATTTAAGACAAT